ACAAGGTTTTGGCAAAAGTATTGATGTTATGTTTGGATACATCAAATCTTTTGAAAGTAAACTTAAAATTTTTAAGCGAGATATTGAAACTAAAACTTATAAGTATTTTAAGTAATTTTCTTAAAATTACTTTTCGTCCTCTGGTGAATAGCTTTTCGCCCGTATAATTTAGTATAATATAGTAAACTCGTTATTTGAACAGTTCAGCGAAAGATTCAACCAATTTAGAAGCCTAGAACAGAACTTTAAAATAATTAATTATCCGGATGTAGTTGTTTACAGTACTTTGGAATTAAAGGATTTCCAATGGATGCAAATTGACGATTTAGAGATGCAACTTGCAGATTTTCAAGGTAGCATTTGAACTCATGTGTTTGTCGACTTGAAAATCTGGAACGAAATCGTTTGAATAATGAAGAAGAGTGCAACTATGAACAAGAAATTTTGAGTGCTTGGACAGAGTACCTGACACTTTTAGCGACATAAAAAATCTAGTGATGGCTTTGCTAACAATTTTTTCATCAACATATTTTTGTGAGACTTTGTTCTCAGCATTAAATAATATTAAAACGAACAAAAGAAACCAGCTAACAGATGAAGTTAGTGGCGCTTGCTTGGCCATGAAGTGCACCAAGTATGAACCTGCAATCAAAGAATTAGCAGACAAACTTCAACACCAAAAAAGTCACTAATTTCTAGTTTTCGTACCATTTGATTATCATTGTTTTTATTATTATTTTTTCCTAAATGTACATTGTTTTTGTTTTTGTTCATTTTATACATTTTTTTGGTTGATTTTTCTTTGTTAAATGGCATTTAAATATATAAAATAAATATCAAAAATATAAATCTTTTTTAACTATGGTTGCAAATATCAAAAAAAAAAAATTATGAATATTTCTATATGTGACACAGCACCAGAGTTAAGGTTTTTCAAAATTTTGACATGCCGAGCTCAAAAGGTTTGCCATCACTGCCCTAAACTCACAGAATCAGAAGATCTAAATTCTAGCCCTAGCTTGGCTGAATATTAGCTTGATAAACCTGGGTAATTTACCTAATCATTCAATGCTTTGATGTATTCATCTCTCTTTTTTAATGGTATGAATAATTACTGCCCTATCTACCTTATTTGTGAAAGTAATTTTTAAACTCCATAGTTTATATCATAGTAATTTATAAACTCCATAGTGAATATCAGGTGTTACTATCATAGTAGAGGCTTGGTACATGAATTCATGCACCAGTGGGGTCCTTCAGCCTGGCCTGCAGGATCAGGCCGAAACTGGCTCTCCAACATCCCCCGAGGGGTCCTGGATTGTGAGAGGGTGCAGGTCAGGCCAAAGGACCCCACTGGTGCATAATTGGGGCTGGGGACGGACACAGGAGGTTGGCCAGCCAGGGAAGGACTG